GATCGGCAGCTTGTTCCAGGATGATACTGGAAAATGTTCTGGGTTGCCGGCGGAAACGTCGTTCTTTATCCACCCCTCCGCACCACGTGGTTACCCCTCCCCAAGTGTCACCCCTAGAGAGAGAGAGAGAGAGAGGGAGAGAGAGAGGGGGCAATGCTTTGTGGTCCGTCATGTTGTTTTCTTGACCGTGCTCCTGTCTGTATGATATATAAAAGTGCATCGCTAGCTGCGCGTATCAAGACAACCAGTGGACTTCACAAGTAGGCACGCGCCATGTGGAAGAAGACATAAACAGCCTGAAATAGTAACATAAACTCGGGGCAAACATGTCTGGCCTCTCAAAGATAGGATGCTTCTAGGGCTACAGCAAGAAGCGTGTCTATCATTCAGCATCTCACTCGTGTCAACAGGTAGATACAGGTTTCTAGATAAATATATCGATTGGTGATACGAACACCCGTCCACACAATGTGAGCTTAAAACTGGATATTTGGTGCGTTTAACTGAATACTGAAAAAAATTCAGCGGAATTTTAACTAGTGGCATATTTACATTGGGTGTATTTACTCGTGAGTTCTTCGGGTGGCGTAGTTGCTGATGACGTTTCCTAGATGACGTATATACAATTGGCTTACTATCATGCGACGTACTTATACAAGACGCCTGTACGTATTCACTTGGTGAGGTAATCACAGGTGACGTATTCAGTTGTAAGGTAATTACAGGTAATGTATTCAGTTCTTAAGGTAATTACAGGTGACGTATGCAGTTGGAGAGGTAAAATTTCAGGTGGCGTATGCACCTGGTGAGGTAATTTCAGGTGACGTATTCAGTTGGTAAGGTAATCACAGGTGGCGTTTTCAGTTGGAGAGGTAATTTCAGGTGGCGTATTCAGCTGTGAGGTAATTGCAGGTGACGTATTCAGTTGGTACGGTAATTACAGGTGACGTATTCAGCTGGAGAGGTAATTTCAGGTTCCGTATTCACCTGGTGAGGTAATTTCAGGTGACGTATTCAGTTGGTAAGGTAATCACAGGTGGCGTATTCATTTGGAGAGGTAATTTCAGGGGGCGTATTCAGTTGTGAGGTAATTGCAGGTGACGTATTCAGTTGGTACGGTAATTACAGGTGACGTATTCAGCTGGAGAGGTAATTTCAGGTTCCGTATTCAGTTGGTAAGGTAATCACAGGTGGCGTATTCATTTGGAGAGGTAAACACAGGTGGCGTATTCAGTTGGAGAGGTAATTTCAGGGGGCGTATTCAGTTGTGAGGTAATTGCAGGTGACGTATTCAGTTGGAGAGGTAATTTCAGGTGGCGTATTCAGTTGGAGAGGTAATTTCAGGTGGCGTATTCAGCTGTGAGGTAATTGCAGGTGACGTATTCAGTTGGTACGGTAATTACAGGTGACGTATTCAGCTGGAGAGGTAATTTCAGGTTCCGTATTCACCTGGTGAGGTAATTTCAGGTTCCGTATTCAGTTGGTAAGGTAATCACAGGTGGCGTATTCATTTGGAGAGGTAAACACAGGTGGCGTATTCATTTGGAGAGGTAATTTCAGGGGGCGTATTCAGTTGTGAGGTAATTGCAGGTGACGTATTCAGTTGGAGAGGTAATTTCAGGTGGCGTATTCAGTTGGAGAGGTAATTTCAGGTGGCGTATTCAGCTGTGAGGTAATTGCAGGTGACGTATTCAGTTGGTACGGTAATTACAGGTGACGTATTCAGCTGGAGAGGTAATTTCAGGTTCCGTATTCACCTGGTGAGGTAATTTCAGGTGACGTATTCAGTTGGTAAGGTAATCACAGGTGGCGTATTCATTTGGAGAGGTAATTTCAGGGGGCGTATTCAGTTGTGAGGTAATTGCAGGTGACGTATTCAGTTGGTACGGTAATTACAGGTGGCGTATTCAGTTGGTGACGTATTTCACAGGTGACGCATCCAGTTGGTAAGGTGATTACAGGTGACGTATTCAGTTGTGACGTATTTTACAAGTGACGTATTCACTTGGTGAGATATTGTGCAGGTGACGTATTCACTTGGTGACATATTTTACAGTAGACGTATTCACTTGGTGAGGTAATTACAGGTGACGTATTGACTTGGTGACATATTTTACAGGTGACGTATTCACTTGGTGAGGTAATTACAGGTAACGTGTTGACTTGGTGACGCATTCACAGAGGATGTTCCTCTCTGATTACAGATCATGTAGCACAGTGGTTAAGTCGTCCGCTCGCCATGACAAAGTTCTGGTTTCATTAGGCCAGGTACACTGTGTGAGGAGAGTCCCAATGTCCCCTGTCGTTATATTCCTGCAGTAACAATTAAAACAGTGTGTAACCGCATCCTTCTCCCTGCTGACCACTAAACGAGGTGTATGGAGTTTACACGTGTTTCCGTGGTATGCCATCAACAGTAAACAATGGTCAGCCCTTAGCCTGTGCCCTAGAAACCACGAGCTGGTCAGTCTGTGTCAGATCGTGACACGTGTTGCCCGGGGCAAAGATTCCTTCAGCCACGTGGGCGGATTACTGGACATTTATAGTGAAATAAACCCCTCCTGACCACCACACCTCGCTCCATCATCACTGGCGACCGACAGTGGGAGATTTACAACATTCGTTGTAGAAAATATCCAAATGATCTGTGAGCGAAAATAGTTCGACGTCAAACTTGCAGATCCGAACCCGGACTTCGGTTTGCCGGTTTGTATCGACATCGCTTATTGAACACATCCATGAACTTATCGTTTTGCAGATTATATACAAATAAATGTAAACGAACACTCAGCCTGTGAAATATCTTATTTTCACAATACATTTCTCATGAAATGCAGAAAGTAGTGAACGTCAAATTTTAGCCAGCGAACTGAAATATGGCGAGAGCTCCACACCCTTGTCTCATAATGTTTGGCAGATAGGAGTGCTGGGTCCCACTCACTCACTCGCTCTTGTGACAAGTCAACACAATACATTTCCTATAACGTTTTGTCGCAGAAGCAGCATGTCTTGGGTTTGAGACTAACGCCAAACCCGGAAGAAGATATATATGTAACAAACACCACTCTCACTATAGGCCCGATACCAAACAGTATAAAAGAGGCCAATGTCTCTTGGAACCATAAGGGGTCGACACGCCGAAAAACCGGGTTCGATTCCCCACATGGGCACAATGTGTGAAGCCCATTTCTGGTGTCCCCCGCCGTGATGTTGCTGCAATATTGCTAAAGGTGACGTCATCATAAACACATGCTTGTCGAAAGAAGCTACTAGGGATCGGAGGTCAGGCTCATTGGCCTTGATTATCTTTGTCAACATATCCTAACTGCGTGTTCTATGCTCGTGATGTCAATCACTCATTGTGTGCTGCCCAGACTGTTGCCATGGAGATAACAATACGGCGGTAGACAAAAAACGAAACCATCCAAACAAACTGGAGAGGACCTTGGAGTAAAGTCGCTCTTTAACAATGGTTGGAACAAAGAAGAAAGAAATAGAATTGCCTGATCTGTGACCTGTCTTAAGTTACCTGCCCTGGATGGTCTGCATTTTGATTTGTTGAGAATAAACTTAAACAAGGTATTCTCGTGGTTCGGTTTTAATAATATACACCAGGCAGGGGACCACAAGGGGAATCACATACACGATGTGATACAGGAATGTTGGATTCGAACGCAGAACCAGGGGGCTGGGGACATAGGCTATTGCAGCACGTGACAGAGACAGACACCATGGACCACAAGAATGAGTGGTGGAAACTGCAGCCGTATTCGACATGTAGAAGAGTTTAACATACTTTGAGCACTAAATGAGGTTCGAGTGAAAAAAAGTAAGTCATGCTGAATTCTAAACCTTCAAAGTGTGTTTTGCAAGAATGTCAGTAATGGATATCGTTCGAAGGTTATTTAAAAGCAAATATTTTCTTCGCAAAATAACAGCACAGCAAACTATGGCATGAATCTTGGCAATTCCATGATGCCGAAGAGTTGCTGCTAATGGTTTCGGAGGTTGCGCCAGAATGCATGTTTGTAACACGAACCAACATTTGGTCGATCTTCAGCAGATATTAAAGAGATTGCATGAGATGGAGTGGGCTGGTTTTGCTCTCTTTCCAAAGAATGTGATTCATATTGCTCCTCCGTGACAAAAACACAGGCCCACGTAGACTCTCGGCACCAGGCTCGCTCGTTAATCAACCCCGCTGTTCCAGGTAAAACCCCAAGGACAGTCGGATCTCGTTACATCTCGGGACTATCCGTTACGCCGCGAGAACCCAGGAGGCACTGAATTTAAACGTATAACTTCCGGTGTGAAAACACACGTTCGTAGGTTGGTTGGTTTGACCAGGTCAAGATGACCTAGTTGCGGTACACTCAGACTCTAGTTTCAGGATTTATGTAAATGTTGTCAAATATCCACTGCTACCGTCCCTACGCCATTAAGAGTGGATCACGTCTAACGGGTTAACATAACTCGAGTCTATGTTTATCTGAAGTGAGTGAGTGACCGAAAGTTTCGGAAGCTGACCACCTTCAGCCGGCCCGTGGGGAGCGATTTACGTAGCACGAGGACTGGATTGGTTCTATATGGTCCAAGATGGGGGACCTTGTTTATGGATCATAGGCAGATCCGAAAAGTGACCCTCTGATTGTCACTGTACAATTAACCCAGTAAAGTGTACAGGACACGATCGGCCTTCTTTGACGTCATTCGTGACCCACTCGTGTTATTCCGGGACAAACAGAAAAACGACTCGAACGCCTCCGGAAGGATTTCATACTGGCGCATGAACATCAGAACTGCATCAAACAAAAACAACTCCATTTCTGTTTCATTCCAACAGTCATACACATTACCTAAGCAGTCAAATATTGATGTTTTCCCATTTTTACCCTGTTTTAAACAATAATAATGTTTGTGTACATACCGGTTCTCAGGTTTCCAGCAGTGTTTACTCTGACGGCCTTGTGGGGCGCTTTTGAAGATTTTACGTACGCTTTCCGATATTTTTAGGCAACGTGACACTACAGCTAAGTGTTTCAAAACCCATCCAGTTTGCGATTCGTATTAAGATACAGTCATTTGAAAATATAAGGCGAACAACCGGTAAAATTTACGTTGGAATATGTTTTCAACAAGTCATCATTGTTTGAGACAAGTTAAAATCTTTAAAAAGCAGAGAGAGTTTATTGCGATAATATGAAGTCTTACCAGGTCACTGAATGAGTGAGTGGGTTTTTGGGTGAGTGAGTAAGTGGATGAGTGAGTGTCGGGTGGGTTGGTTGAGTGAGTGAGTGAGTGAGTGGGTGGGTGTTTGAGTGAGTAAGTGAGTAGGTGAGTGAGTGGGTAAATGAGTGAGTGAGTGGGTGAGGACGAGTATGGTACTTGCATGATCCTAACCAGGTATTCGAACAAACAATCAGGGGATTCTGAAACGCGCAAGGGACACAAACAAGTATCCGTGCATTCAATCCGACCGAACCAAGTAATCACGTGACACTGTGGGCAATTACTGCATTTATTTGCTCAGGAAAATGGGAAGTGACGTCACTATTCGCTGGAGTGGAGGTCGTCAACGTCTTCGTCCTCTTCAGCAGCTCTTCTCAGATCCTCATCTGACAACAGACATAGGACAGGTACATAACGCTCAATACATAAAGCAGAGGGTCACACATTCATACCTATTATGAGTAAGTTTGCATGGAGGTTTCGTTGGTCACAGTGCTTATGTCATCCTTGACCGTGTCATCCTTGACTTTGTCATCCTTGACCGTGTTATCCTTGAAAGTGAGTATCGACTTTGCTCGATGTTTTTAATGACTTGTTTGTCTGGTCAAGACACGTCTAATTTTAAGATCGGACGATATCGCTTTAATTTAGTTGACTTACGATGTTGAACAGCATTCGCTCGAGTATCAACTCTGACATGTATATAACCAGGGCTACCTGAATCAATGGTCATCAGGTCACGCATGGCCCTGGTGAACTCATCAACGCTGACTTGAGAATTGCCTGCCAATATTAGAATAATACAATAAAATATTACAATACAATAAAATAATACCAAATAATAATAATCTTTATTAATACGATCCAATAGTATAACAGAATACAATAATAAAATAATAAATTACTTAGCAATAATACAATGATATATACTGAACAGCAAAAGAAACGCAAGTTTCGAAAAAATGAAATCTCATGAAGGTAAGCGTTCATGGTTATGGAACATTCATGGTAAAGTGACGTAATGATCCCAGATGAGATGATGTCATGCCATTTGACGTCCATACAGACAATTCGCACAAACACACCAACAGTGCAACAAAACCATAATTTTAGTACGTGCATCGACGGGTCTGGATGAAAAGCATGCATTTCACTCTGAGGTATCCTTTATAAAGGTTTGTGTCAAAAAACAGTTGACTATTGACACTAGGAGATGTACACGCCATACAAACGATGCCTAGACTGAGCAGAGAGGAATGGCCATTGGAAAGTTGCACGGAGGTATCTCTGCAACCGCAGTAGCTAGAAAATTGGGCTGTCATCTTACCACCATTACACGACTTGCTCAACGTCATCAGCAAACCGAGGTTGCTGCTGATCGCCCCCATACCGGGCGGCAACGAGTGACATCTCATGCGCAAGATCGGTTCATCCGGGTCACTCATCTAAGGAACCAAACTCAAGCACCAACAGTAACAGCAGCCTTAGTTCATGGGTCAAGGGGAGCAGTGTCCAGCGATACGATTAGGCGTCGTCTTCGGGCTGCTGAAATCCACTGCCGAAGGCCATATGTGGGGCCAATTTTGACACGCCAACAACGCCAGTGACGTTTGCAGCCCTCCCACAGCAAGGGTGTTGATGGATTATCTGGCTTAAAACAACATTAACGTTTTCCATGGCCGTCTCTTTCCCCGTATATGGCTCCCATTGAACATTCTGGGACGAAATTGGACGGAGGATTGGTGCAGGTAGACAGCGACTCACACTTGCACAATTGGAATAGAGATTGGTGTTTGAGCGGAACCAATTGCCTCAGGCAATCTTTCAGACTCTAGTGAACTCAATGAGGCCACGTTGCACGGCCTGTGTGCAAGCTCAAGGTGGCCATACACGCGACTAAAGAGTCTTTCACTTTTCGCGTTCAGGGGTATCTCAATTTGACGGACTGTGATCAATTTGAACTTATTGCAATTCAATGTCAACATCAACTTTCAGCTGTTAAATTGATAGTGTTGTCTATAGAATAAATGATTGGACATGATTTTGGTTGTCTTCTATTCACAAACTTGACAAAAAGCCAGATTTGCGTTTCTTTTGCTGTTCAGTATACTATGTTTGTAGGTTGTGTTACACAGTCGAACCGCTGTAACTCCCTTCTAGAGGGACCGTTCTGTAACTTGGAAGTACCGGACATTTGAGGTAGGCTGAGAACACCTGTAGGCGATGACAAACAGACGTGTTTCACTAGATGTGATATATACAAGCGTGACCAGTCACGTCCAGGGTAGATGTGCTACCAGCAGGGTGACCAGACAACAAGTGATATTCGGGTGTGCTAAAGCAGACCACTTACCGTCTTCATCCAGAAGAGGAAGAAAGTCCTTCACTGCGCGCTCATCAAGAACTTTCTCGGCTTCCAACTGGTCAATTACGCCATCCTTATTGAGGTCAAGGTCGTTTGCATCACGTCCGTAGCGACCTTCAACGAGTAGAGAACCTTTTATCAGTATTCAAGCAATTTTACGACCAGGATCACCAGAAATGCGATTCGGACATTTTACCCATATTGAAAAATGATGTGCGACAGTTAACAAAACACAAGAGTACGGCTCAAACCTTCAGTAGAAAAAACTGGACCACTGTTTATCTTCAATTTGCTTTCAATATCAATCACTGCTTTGTCCGAGACAGGCTCAATGAGAGGTCATAAAGATGGAAGGGTGGTGACCGTGAGGATAGAGAGGGAGGGGGGTGGGGTGTTTGTGGGTGTTGACAACAGTAGTGAGTTACCAACCAGAAATACTGATTGAACCAACCGCGCTGCTGCAGGGTGGGTGATGGACAATATCAGACATACTGCACTATAAGCATCCACCCCCAAGACGCATCCATCCCCAATACAGGCCCTCGTGTTTTTGCGAGGATTAAAGTTTTTTTTAAAAATATCTATAAAATTTGAGATGACCCCCACCCGCCTGCTTTGCCGATTGCTACGCTACCATCGCATACAATCGATTAAAACTTAATCTTGACTGCTTCGACCACACCCTCGTTGTATGCGGACATATCGTCATCCATTTGTGTCAAGATCGTTTAGTTGTGAGTCGAAATCGGGTTTCAGTCGACTTGCAGAAATAACAATAAAGAATTGGTAGGTGTCATGAGTGGTGTTCGATAGGCCAATCATCCATGAATATTTTTTACATTAAGTATTAAACGATGGCATGCGATGGTAGTGTAGCGATCGGCAAAGCAGGCGGGAGGGGTGCACCGAAGTGTCCGGCCTTGTCATAATGTATTGTACTGTGAAGCATTTCGAGTCGGGGGTCATCTCAAAATCAATATTTTTAAAATCCTCGCAAAGACACGAGGGCCTGTGATCCCCACCCCACCCACCCCAATCATCCTACTCCCTTTCCCTCCACCAATCCAGTTTCTGTTTGTTGGTGGTGGCCCTAAAGGGGCTCTATCCTTCCTGTCCGGTATTGCCTATTCACCTCTTTGAAACTGCTTGTATGTTTTGTACGCTTTGTACGCTTTCCCGGCGAATTTCACTACGCGCTTGAACCACCCCCGCCGCCGTCGTCGTCTCCACCCCTCGGCATCCGGCAGCAGGACCAGCCCCAGGAGCAGGAATACCAGCAGTAGACGCATGGCGATGTTGCAGATGGTGTTGACTTTATCTGAATTTGGAACAAGTAGAAGCATTAACCAATTACTGCCATTCAATACACTGCCCTTATACAATACTTAGTACTGCCAACCTAGACACAATACTATGATTAGAAACATATTACCATACACTACATAGTACTGCCATAGACTACATAGAACTGCCATACACTACATAGTACTGCCATACACTACATAGTACTGCCATACACTACATAGAACTGCCATACACTACATAGTACTGCCATACACTACATAGTACTGCCATACACTACATAGTACTGCCATACACTACAAAGTACTGCCATACACTAGATAGTAGTATACTGCCATACACTACAAAGTACTGCCATACACTACATAGTACTGCCATACACTACATAGTACTGCCATACAATACATAGTACTGCCATACAATACATAGTACTACAATACGCTACCGACTACTACAATACAATACACGGTACTATCATTCAATACACATCGTTACCATACACTATATTATAGTACTACCATACAATACATAGTACTACAATACAACACACAGTACCACCACGCAATACACAGTGTTCCATACAATAGACAGTACTACCATAAACTACATAGTACTAGCATATAATACATAGTACTACAATACACTACATAGTACTACCATAAAATACATAGTATTACCATACACTACACAGTACTAAAGTACCAAGGGAAATAGAGATAAAATGGTTTTTGGCTGTCAATTGTTTTCCCTGACGGAAATATGCAATTCAAACAAATATCAAAGTATCGTCGGTATTCCCAACCAGGCCTTCGAAAAGGCCGTTTTACGGGGAAAATGTAATAAATTTGCATATTTAACTGATTCAAAGAAACAGATTATAACTGATGTCACAATTAGAGATGAATGACAACAACTGCATGCAGCACTGTTGAGACAGGAAGATTCATTTGCACGTGCATTTTCATTAGGGGTTGTCTCAAATCGTGGCTTTAATTGTTGGTTTGGGTTCATTCGCGTTCAATTTTCATTTCTTGGCGATAACATTAATTTGAAATTTACACTTACGTATAATTTAGATAATAAAATGTCTATAATTAATACTGATGGTGCATATCAACAAAATAGCTTGTATTAAATCTAATACTAAAAGAAAAACCGCTGAAAATAAAATAAAAATTACAAATTTCTAACTGAAAGAAATGTAACCCTTTTTAATGCGACATCTAACGCGGACTTAATACTACCATGGCCTTACGAAAACCGTACTTGTAAATATTCTGCTGTTTCAATGTAATATTGAGTATTTCATGTGTATTTGGCAGAAGTTCCTGTATGTGTGTCTGATTATTTCCGTCACAAAGTGGGAGGTGGCTTCAGGAGGGAGTCCATCCGTCTGGACAATTACTTGAACGTGAATATAGATATCACAATGACATGTAGGAAACAGATGAACCAAAATGTGACTCGGTAGATACTGTTATAGTAAAAGTCAAACAATTTTTATTTTAATTGTACTTTGGGGATACAATTTGAACGTTAGAAACATCTCACCCTCTCTCTCCCTCCCTCCCTCCCTCTCTCTCTCTCACACACTCTCTCTCTCACTTTCTCTCTCTCTCGACGATCCCTACTTGTTTTGTTTACAGTTGAATTGAATAAACTTTATGATCCGGAGCTCGCAATGCTCGACTAGTGCGGTGAAACACTCTGTCGGGACAAACAAGAGGTTTTCCCCGATCTTTCTCTAAACTAAAGAAGTTGAACACACAATTAAAGTTTTAATATCCGGACTCGTGTGACTGTGCACGTGACAATCAACGCTGTCAGTATGTGATATGATAACCTTGTGGCAAGAGTTAATATACATTACAAGTGTGAAATATACATTACAAGTGTGAAATATACATTACAAGTGTGAAATATACATTACAAGTGTGAAATATACATTACAAGTGTGACATATACATTACAAGTGTGAAATATACATTACAAGTGTGAAATATACATTACAAGTGTGAAATATACATTACAAGTGTGAAATATACAACGAAAATCAACCAGATAATACCCATTTTACCCATATAATTAAGTTTTTAAATATTAATGAAAATATATTGAATAAATTATTAGTGAACTGCTTGTCAACGTGTCGCTAACCTCCCGCCAAAGACATAAACTGACTGCTGCTATATGCACAGATGAGTAAACTATTCCTCCCAGCTGAATTTATCATATGGTTCATTTTGAAAATAGGCTATCTCTAAAAAATCTATCAAAACAGAAATGTTTAAGTGATTAGAAAAATAGGCAAAACATTTAAACCACGTCAAACATTTCAGGTAATTCTCAGCAAAGTTTCTATTGAACCAATCTATTTTCAGTTACCCAGCCACAAATTACTTTTCAGAAACTGTTGCAGGAAGGAGTGATGGTATAAATCCATCCATCATATAATAACTCAGTTTCCATATACCTTTTGTCTCACTGCAGTCGCTGTCGACCTGTCTCGACTTCAGTGACGACACGCACACACGGTTCTCGAAACACGAGGATTGCACGAGGAAACCACAAGTGAATATATATATAAGCGTGAGTAGTGAGTGAGTGAGTGATTGTGTGTATGTGAGTGTGTGTGAGTGATTGTGTCAGTTAGTGAGTGAGTGATTGTGTGTATGTGAGTGTGTGTGAGTGATTGTGTCAGTTAGTGAGTGAGTGATTGTGTGTATGTGAGTGTGTGTGAGTGATTGTGTCATTTAGTTAGTGAGTGAGTGATAGTGTGTATGTGAGTGTGTGTGAGTGATTGTGTCAGTTAGTGAGTGAGTGAATTGTGTGTATGTGAGTGTGTGTGAGTGATTGTGTCAGTTAGTTAGTCAGTGAGTGATTGTGTGTATGTGAGTGTGTGTGAGTGATTGTGTCATTTAGTTTGTGAGTGAGTGATTGTGTGTATGTGAGTGTGTGTGAGTGATTGTGTCAGTTAGTTAGTGATCGAGTGATTGTGTGTATTTGAGTGAGTGAGTGCCCAAAGGCTGCCTTCCTAATGCATAACATTCAGTTAAATCTCCAACTGCATTATGTCCCCCTCCGTCTAGCCCTCCCTGCAGTGCTAAAGCCCTAAATTAGGTAAGTCTAGATTTCCTCAGGTTCAGGTTTGAATCTCCCATCTGACTGGGGCTCCTTTTCAGTTTGTTTCTGTCAAAATTAAATATTTTCAGAGACTAAACGTTAGTCTAGCCCGTACCTAGGACATGTATATCATGCCAGGACATTGTGCAGAGCACCAGAACAGATGGGCATCAAGGCGGACTTACCTGTAGACTGTAGAGTTGTACCCGAGACTGACTCACCTGTGGGTTGCAGCAGAGGTGCTCTACCTGTCCTGGGTGGCCCTATTTATACACAGCGATTGCTGAATGAGCAGATTCAGATCACTGACAGGTGACACATCCTTGTAACACACGTTGTAAACAAGTACCTATTCGGTAATATGGACTTGATCTGCCAAACAGATAAGGACGATCGATTCTACTTAATATTCGTGAACCTGATGTGAAATTCAGAAGCTGAGGAAATCTAGATTTGCTTCATGTAGGGTTTTAGCGTTGCCTGGAGGGCTAGGCAGTACGGAAAATAATGTGGTTCAGGTAGTGCAAGTGAATGAGTGAGTGACTAGTTTTACGCCACGTTTTAGCAAAGTAACCAAGCAATATCACGGCGGGCGACACCTGAAATGGGCTTCACACATTGTGCCCATGTGGGGAATCGAAACCGAGTCCTCGGCGTGACGAGCGAACGCTTTAACCACTAGGCTACGCCACCGCCCCTCAGGGACAGTGAGACAGACGAGGGAGAGGGCTGTTGGTTACTGTGTTCCAGCAGTAGATGAGTGAGGATGGGTGAATGGGTGACCAATTGCTTGTTATGTAACGCCTAGCAAATAGTGAGTGAGTGACTTTAGTTTTACGCCGCACTCAGCAATATTCCAGCTATATGGCGGCGGTCCCATCAATACGAAGGTGGTTTGTTAATAATCGAATCCGGAATAATCGAAGTAATCATGTGATTGAAGTCATGAGAATTGATCTTATCGAGCCTGACAAGCGTGTGTTGCTGGAGATCACCGGACTGGTCACTCCTCGCGGATAATGGTTTGTTGCTTTAAGTAGGTCTCAACGACCCACGTACAATGCGGTTGTATGCACGTCTTCTTTAACATCGCTCAGTCATCATGACATTCGGATCCTATAGGGGTCAAGGGACAGTGGGGTAGCCTAGTGGTTAAAGCATTCGCTCGTCACGCCGAAGACCCGGGTTCGATTCCCCACATGGGTCAATATGAGAAGCCCATTTTCAGGGTCCCCCACTGTGATATTGCAAAAATTGAACTCACTCACTCACACAAAGGGGTCCAATCCTAGTGTACGGGGGTATTTCACTTATTATTTGTTGGATGTCATCCTTTGCAAACTTTGAGTTGTATACAGTCACTCTCACTAGTCAGGTGTAAAGTATGTCACGTGTGTTGCAGCAAAGAAGTTGTGTAAAGGACTATCATTCACAAATACTGGGTTGTGATTGGTTAATTAAAGTCATTCAGAGGTATATAATAACGTTATGGACTTCTGATTTTCCAACACAGTATGCATTTTTTAAAATCTCAATGACGTGGTTATGGTAGAATGGAGATAAACACAGTGTTGGAATATCAGAGGAATATAACGAAATTATAATAGCCCTAAATTTGATTTAAACCGGACGCGTATACCTCTGATTTTCCAACACAGTATGTTTATCTCCTAACACCTGCGTTACTTTGGGGCTCTCTGAACATTCATCTAGTTTACCGACTGTTCACAGCTGCATCAGACTCGCTCCACCCTCCCTCCCTCCCCTCCCTCCCCCCTCTCACTCACTCACTCACTCACTCACTCACTGCGTGACTGAAATCACAGCTTGTGGACACGTTGTGAAGCGAAGTTGGTATTGGAACATGTGTTCCTTTGTTTGTTACACGTTGTTTAAAGTTGGGCAATCGGTGCATCATTACATGTTGCGTGAAATGGATTTCACACCTATCGGGACGTGTCAGGTTGCAGCCAAACTTTAAAAGTGTCCCATCCAGTTGAGGTGTGACAGAACCGTGATATCCTGATTGCCTGACACACCTGTCCTTGTCACCAGGTGCGAACTACCATCCGAGTCGACAGCAACATGGCAAGGCATACACGCTTACATAACATGAAATATAATAAATATATTATGAAAATACAGAGAAATCATGTGAAGTGAAGTCGTGTAAATTTCACGAGACTGTGTTTCAACATCGCGAAAACAAACTTTAACTCCAGAAAAACAGAAACGTTACGAGAGACAATGACACAGACATTTGGGATCATTTGAAGACTAAACTGCCCGAACTATAACAACAATTACGCATTATAGTTCAGGGACCCATCCACATAATGTTCACTGCTTAGTTTGCTTACGCCAGAAAACCCCTGTGAAGATCAAGGTTAGAATCGATCTTCAGCAATCCTGCATGTCTTCCCCCTGTGAAGATAAAGGTTAGAATCGATCTTCAGCAACCCTGCATGTCTTCCCCCTGAGAAGATCCAGGTTAGAATCGATCTTCAGCAATCCTGCATGTCTTCCCCCTGTGAAGATAAAGGTTAGAATCGATCTTCAGCAACCCTGCATGTCTTCCCCCTGTGAAGATCCAGGTTAGAATCGATCTTCAGCAATCCTGCATGTCTTCCCCCTGTGAAGATAAAGGTTAGAATCGATCTTCAGCAACCCTGCATGTCTTCCCCCTGTGAAGATCCTGGTTAGAATCGATCTTCAGCAACCCTGCATGCCTTCCCCCTGAGAAGATCCGGTTAGAATCGATCTTCAGCAACCCTGCATGCCTTCCCCCTGTGAAGATCCTGGTTAGAATCGATCTTCAGCAACCCTGCATGTCTTTCCCCTGTGAAGATCCTGGTTAGAATCGATCTTCAGCAACCCTGCATGTCTCCCCCCTGTGAAGATCCAGGTTAGAATCGATCTTCAGCAATCCTGCATGTCTTCCCCCTGTGAAGATAAAGGTTAGAATCGATCTTCAGCAACCCTGCATGCCTTCCCCCTGTGAAGATAAAGGTTAGAATCGATCTTCAGCAACCCTGCATGCCTACCCCCCTGTGAAGATCCTGGTTAGAATCGGTCTTCAGCAACCCTGCATGCCTTTCCCCTGTGAAGATCCTGGTTAGAATCGATCTTCAGCAACCCTGCATGCCTTCCCCTGTGCAAATCCAGGTTAGAATCGATCTTCAGCAACCCTGCATGTCTTCCCCCCTGTGAAGATCCTGGTTAGAATCGATCTTCAGCAACCCTGCATGTCTCCCCCCTGTGAAGATCCCGGTTAGAATCGATCTTCAGCAACCCTGCATGCCTTCCCCCTGTGAAGATCCAGGTTAGAATCGATCTTCAGCAACCCTGCATGTCTTCCCCCTGTGAAGATCCAGGTTAGAATCGATCTTCAGCAACCCTGCATGCCTTCCCCCTGTGAAGATCCTGGTTAGAATCGATCTTCAGCAATCCTGCATGCCTTCCCCCTGTGAAGATAAAGGTTAGAATCGATCTTCAGCAACCCTGCATGCCTTCCCCCTGTGAAGATCCTGGTTAGAATCGATCTTCAGCAACCCTGCATGTCTTCCCCCTGTGAAGATCCTGGTTAGAACCGATCTTCAGCAACCCTGCATGCCTTCCCCCTGTGAAGATAAAGGTTAGAATCGATCTTCAGCAACCCTGCATGCCTTCCCCCTGTGAAGATCCAGGTTAGACTCGATCTTCAGCAACCCTGCATGTTTTCCCCCTGTGAAGATCCTGGTTAGAGTCGATCTTCAGCAACCCTGCATGTCTTCCCCCTGTGAAGATCCAGGTTAGAATCGATCTTCAGCAAACCCTGCATGTCTTCCCCCTGTGAAGATAAAGGTTAGAATCGATCTTCAGCAACCCTCATGCCTTCCCCCTGTGAAGATCCAGGTTAGAATCGATCTTCAACAACCTGCATGCCTTCCCCCTGTGAAGATCCTGGTTAGAATCGATCTCCAGCAACTCTGCATGTCTTCCCCATTGACAAAAAAACAAACAAACAAACGGTCAAATTATACCTCTGCGCATATTCAAACACATATTCAGTGCAATACAGAAACTCCTTTCTTACAGACGCTCTTTGTGGTACCCTCCAGTGATTGCTGGGTTTGCTCGCTTTTTTATTATGGGAACACATCTTACGACAAGCCTGGGTTGATGAACAGATATTCAAATCCCAAATACCCACGGGGTAACATCTTACGGAAAAGCATGGGTTGAGTATCTAACGACAAAATTGAAACATACAACTTTATGAATGACAACTTCTTGTTTATTGCACAGAGCGACGTTTAAACGCTAAGAGCTTGTTAACGGTGTAAGAATCTACATCGAAACATCGCTTTATGCAATAAACAAGAAGTTGTCATCCATAAAGTTGAATGTTTAATTTTTCACTCACCTACTTCTAGAATGCCGATCAAACAATTTGTCTACAAGTTTGACATGCTGAGCAAATATTCTTTTGGGGTTAATCATTTACGTGCTGACCATGTGACATTGCTGACCACGGACAAAGTTCATCTCTTTTTCACGAGATGTTTACATGATTATATACTAGGGTATAATGTGTTTGTTTCTGATAATGTAGACTAATGCTTAGTCTCTGAATATGTAAAATTTTCAGAGTAACAAATAAACCCATTTAAACTGAAAAGGAGCCCCAGGGAGACCAGAGAACATGAGGAAATCTAGACTTGCTTTATTTAGGGCTTTAGCACAGCAGAGAGGGCTTGGTAGTAGGGAAAATAATGTGGTTCAGGGACTGTGAGACAGACTAGTGATAATGATATCGATGCATCGTGTGTTGACACATCGTGTGTTGACACAGTCAGTATACTAACTCCGCTGTTTTCGACTACCACTTCAAGTTGAGTGCTGTCACATGTTGATTGAATATTGATCCAAAATTATTTATTAGACAGGATAGTGTGCTTGTGTCTCTCCAGCACTGACCAGGTGGTGGGTTGTATGAAAACAGAGAAGTTATCGTTACGATACGAGATGCAACTGTTGCACATCGTTAGTGGATAACTTCCTGCATCAAATGTCACGTGGCCCAGGTGATGTCGCCAGGTGCACAGCAGACTGAACAGAGTTCTGCTGAAATGTAACAAGCTGTCCGGCCTTATATTTTTCTGATTCAAAAACGCCATAAATAAAATAAATATATGAGTGAGTGAGTGAGTGAGTGAGTGAGTGAGTGAGTGAGTGAGTGAGTGAGTGAGTGAGTGAGTGAGTGAGTGAGTGAGTGAGTGAGTGAGTGAGTGAGTGAGTGAGTGAGTGAGTGAGTGAGTGAGTGAATGAATG